GTATCTTCTAACATCGGCAACAGTCTCAGCCATTTGAAGGCGGGATACCCTATCTGATCCACCGACATTTAGTAGAACCTTTGTTTGCTTACTATCTGCAGATTTACCATGAAGACAAAAGTAAAAGCTCCAGAGATAATAGAAAGTAAAACACCAGAGAAACATTTTATAGGTCCACAACTTTTGGTGATTCAACAAGTACAAAAGCAAGAGAGTTGGGAACTTCATACCAGATATCCATCTCTTGGACAGAGCTAATATGACAGCTACAACGTCTTTTACATATACAGGACACCAGAACTCGTCATGAAAAAACTCGCTTGTATTTCCTTTGGGGAGGACACCATCTATCCACTACATTCACATGAAAATCATTGATTAGACTCAAACATAACCTATGATATACTTATTAAGTTGTCTTTATCATCTTTATATTAATTTGATTCTCTGATTGGAATTTATTAGGTGGGCTCGTAAACTTCACCAACAAATTAGCAAAAATTCAACCGAGGGACTGTCTTCTGTATACCTGGATTGGAAGAGATTTTGGAACCGGTGAGATTGTCTGTGGCCCAAAGATGATACTGCTTCTCAAAATTGCAAGGTTGGAGCATTTTTCAGTTATGAACTGCTCTGCTGCCACTTTCGATTTCCCATATACATTTACATGAGCGGTTTCATCATCTTCCTTGTAAAAGGACTTCACCCCTTCATGAACTGATGGAAAATTACATCAGTCATGAATCACGAACTAGGAATAGATATGACTCCCATGAGCATAAAGGTATAATACAAAGATAAGTGGTTCAAATAGAAAAACTGATATCTTAAATATGGATGCATTCATGCTGAAATAACAAAGAGAAATACCAGAAATACCAGACCGTGAGTAGAATGCTTGAAAAGCTCCTGCATTTTAAATGTTCTCGTACTGAAATAAGCCGCCGAGGTCATCAAACCTAACCAATAGAATAGAAAGTGGATGAAATCTTCCATAATTAAAAGGTTCTTCCATTCCAATAATTGATTAATTCACGAAATGAACAATTTCAGGTACCAAAGAGTCCTTTTGTCATGCTTACGGAGGCTGGGAAAGTCAATCATTGGAAAGTCATACTCATCAGACATGGATATTTATGATGTTCAATATGCAGGATCCATTTCCTTACTTGAGGACATTTGAGCATTGATTTTAAACAATGAAGCTTTTATAAAATTTTATCAAATTCATCGAAAGTAACCCCTCCCCTTTCCTATTCTCCATCTAGTACAGGAAGAAGTTCATACTTGATAGAAGTCCTAAGATTACATAATACTCTATGCTTTAAGCCAACAATATCTATCCTAATTTCTAGACATTGTCTGCCTCAGCCGACAAACCACAACAGTCTCAGAATACAACATTTTCACGACTGGGGACAATCAAAGTGTCATCTAGATTTTTAAGAATGATTTTAAGAAAGTTGTTACGTTGGTAGTATCTGCTATTATTGTTCGTCCATTGCCATTTTCTTTTCTTATTTTTCTCTTCTCTAGTTTTGTTGAGCCATTTGTACTCAAATAGATATGTAAATGGATAAAAAATCTACCACAGTAATGGCTAAGAGGGACTTAACCTTGATCAGTTGACAAATGCATCAGAAGAGAACTACTCTCTTCAAAGCTTGATAACCAATTCACAAGAGAAGATGGAACATTCACAGACATAGCAGCAGCAGGATCCATTTCACAGGCACGAGGAACGGAGAGTGCAGTGCAGCTCAGTTTACAACCACATCAGGCTGCAAATTCAACCAATACACTTCTCAGCACTTAAAGGTTCTTCACTATTTAAGTTAAGTACTTGAAATCCTAACCCCCACCCCCCCAAATTCATTCAACAACTATATAAAAGTGTATACGCAAAGACAACTGTTCGAGCTTTTACACAATGTAAGTTCCCCTAAAGAACTAATTGCTTGCACATGGCTAAACAAGAGTCCTAAGCAATTATCTCAAAAAACCAAAGACCCCATAACAGAAAAAATGAAAAAACGTACAACAGGAAAAACCCATTAAGTAAACCACATTGCCTTTCAGCTTGAAAAAAATAAAAATAAATAGGAAATCTAATGAAAAAAGTCTGAAAACTTTGAGTTTTAACGATAAGGATAAAATAAAAGGTAAAGCGAATAATATCAGAATTGACTTTTTAGTGTTAAAATATGATTTTTCGTTAAAATAAACGGTATGAAAGCTTTTCGTTAAAATTCTCAATAAAAATAATTCAGAGTGCATGTTCCAGAAAACCCACTACTCCAAATTAAAGATTCCACAGATTATAACTTGAACACCACCAATCAAAATCAGTATAATTAAATCAATGAAAAAAGAAAATATTTAGTATTTTACAGAAGTGGAGTATTGGGATGGGACCTGACCCGGCAAACGTCTGAGAAATGGCTTGAAATCCATGGCCGGTCTTCAAATCGATATGGAAATGCAGCAACTGGGGAAATGCGTCGAGCAATGCTTGGGGAGGAGGACTGGAGTGGTGGGTAAGCGCCAGACCGAAAGGGGTGGTTGCTGTGATCCCTTCAATCTCTGAGAACCATTGCAGTACATGCTGGCCTAAGCAACCTGTGCCTCCAACTACCAGCACTCTCTTCTTACTCGTCATGAAATCACAGATTCTCTCTTGATGTGGAAATTGGAAATGGTGGCGATTTGGGTTTTGTAGGGGTGGTGGCGGGTGGGTGTTCTTGGCAGTTGGAAGGTAGGTAGTATTTGTACGGTTTATTTTCCCAGTTTTTTTCAAGGCCAAATAAAATGAAGTTGAAGAGTATCGAACTAGCAATTCGAATTCAAGACCAATGTTTTAAAAGGGAGAAATGAGCCAAAGCGTTTTATAACAAGCTCGTTTGGGTGATAGCCTCGAGGCACGAGGCGATAGCCTAAACTAAAACTTTTAATACTTAATATACATAACATGGCATTTTAAACAATCAAGTAAGCATGTTAAGCAATCAAATACTGGACTATTATTATTATTTTTCTAACTCACGTGATAAAGTCATAATAAACTAATAGAAACTAAGTTAGAAATATAAAATTAGCATGAATTTGATAAAAATCATGTCCAAAACAACGGCGTTTTGGATTTATGCGATTTCTTTCTTTTTTATTAAATTCAAATGTTGAAATCGCTTAGATGCTTGAGGCAATAAATGGCTAGCTCTAATACTTTGTATACAAGATTTTCAACGAGGGCACCCAAAAATAGAAGGTTCGGGTCACATTTTTGTATTTGTGTATCAATTAATTGGTTATTGATAAAAATTAAAAGGAAAAAAAAACTATCTTACAATTGATCACACCAAATTAAAGATATATTAAAACCCACGGGAAATCGGAATCAAACCATGCCAATAACAAAATCTTCCAAAATGGGGCAACTGAAAATACAATTTTTAAAATAGAAAACCCAAAAGCTTTGGGACTTGGGGCATCAATTTTGATTGAGGAAAGATTCATTGGAGACCAATTAAAGTTCCCCTTCTCCCTGACAAATACTACCTACTCGTATATACTTTCCTAAATCTTCTGCGCATCCGATTCCTCCTTGGATACAGTCATATTTTGTTGACTTTGGTCCTGAACCGTTGGATTGAAATTAAAACTTAGGCTAGCCAATTAGCTAGGGATTATTATTTACTTGAAGCCCAAACTTTTCTATGTCCGGTCAGATTAAGGATTTCTACCCCATAAGAGACTATCTATATAAGAACATTAACGCACTTCTGTGTTTGTTCTTTCGCTTTATTCACTGAAAAAGCACTTGGAGAAAAAGGAGAAACAGAAGAACAAGAAGATAATGTTGATGAGTTCGCGGAGTTTGCGGCGTACGGAAGATTTGGACGACGATGATGGCTTGTCCCCTTTCGATATGTTGGCGAAGGCGATTTGCACCATCGCTTCCAGAAAAATCAAGCTGCTGCAAGAGACACAAGAGAATTCGGACTTGCCTTTGAAGAAGAGACGAAGCTACTTTGATTTCTTAAATATTATGCCTAGCCCTAGCCCTACCGCTAGCAATACCAACACAAACCCTAATTCTCCTGTAAGTAAAAGCTTTCATATCTTCTTTAATCTTTCTAGTGTGCTTAGTTATTTGTTTATTATTCTTTTACGTTAATAATGTTACTTAATTAACTAATACGTTGCAGAAAGAAGGAAACGGATTAGTGATCGTGAGAGAAAAAGGCCATATATTGGAGAGTTCTAGTGGTCAGGTTGGGTCTGGAAGTCATGAGGAAGAAGAAAAGTCAGGGAACCAACAAGAAGAAGAACATCAACCTCTACTTCCCAATAAGAAATGCTCCCATTCGAACATCCAAGAAATCCCAGAGTATGTTTTCTCTCTCTCTGTCTCAAACCGTAGCTAGCTAATTCAATTATGTTATCAGTAAGTATATTAGGGAAGAGATTATTACACACTGCTTTTCTCTCTTTGTAAACTCATGTTAATATCAAAAGAGGATAAATGGACAAAAGGATAAAAGGGTATGGGAAATCAGTTTTCTAAAGTATTAACAATTACTGCCACCAAATTGATTAACTAATTTGTCACATATATAACCTTGTTTATCACCGCGTACTAATTAATTACGTGTTTAATTTTGTGTCACAGTTTACTTGAAGAATGTTGTCCACATCCTAAGAAACCAAGGTCGCCCACTAAAGCTAAAAGTATTATCTTGTTCGGAAAAGAGTTAACTATAGCAACCGACATCCCTGTCAGTACTAGAGCTAGTGGTACTGAACTTGATTATGTTCATGAAGCACAAACAATGATTGGTGATAAGGATAATTTGAAAAGAAAATACATCGACGTTGATGATGGTGAAGATCATGTGGGGCCTGCACATCTGAATGAGAAGAAGAAGAAGGTCAAGTTTGTCTTCAACAACAACTTGAACGCAACAAATAAGGTGGTGAAGAAGGGTAAAAATAAGGTAAAATTTGCTAGTGGTATGCCAGCCCCTGACTTGCCTGAAGAATTCAAGAGCTTGATCTTAGGAGAAATGAATGGGACAAAGCTGCAAATGTTGGCACAAAAGAGTTTGTACAACACTGACATAAACAAAGACCAAGGCAGGTTGTCACTGCCTCGAATGCAAACCGAATCCAAGAATTTTCTCAAACCCAACGAAAAGGAGGAACTAGATAAAACTAGCCTCCTGATGGTTCCTTTGATTGGCCCAAAGCTTGAACCTGACAAGGTATCCCTAGGATTGTGGACAATGTCAAGCAAATCTCAAAAAACCTATGTGCTGAAATCTACATGGTTTGGCATTGTTGAAAGACATAGTCTAGGTGTAGGTGATGTGGTCCAAGTTTGGTCATTTCGGGCTACAAATCCTAAGTACAAAATTAAGGATGGTGATCATGGTGATCACGATCACTTGACTTGCAACGATGATCAGCTTCACTTAGCTCTTGTCTTGGTTGAGAGAGGCGATCGTCTTCTCGAGGAAGGCGGTAGCAAAGAAGGTGGTACTAGTACTGGTGGAGTAAGTAGTAGTATGAGCAATAATGAGTGTGATGAAGGACGAAAAACAATTGATGGCAGCAGCAGTGGGAGCTGCACTCCTGAAAATGATGGGAATAGTAGCCCCAAACCGAGTTGTGAAGAGAGAGACCAAGAGACTTTTAATTGACTCCTTCGAGGCTAGAGCGAGCAATAGATATGTTTGTAATGTGTATGCAGTATATATGTACTTTCAGTCATCCTTATATGCTTCAATCAATGGAAAATAATTAATCATTAGTAAATGACATCGAAAACTAATCACCATCTCTGCCTGCATTCTTCTTGTGACGTCTGTCTTCTGAGTTAACAGGTCTTCTATTTATGTAAAATCCACGCTTCATCTTCTCCCTCTCCTTCCGACTCCTATGATTTAGCAGCAATGGATTTTATTTGCAGACAAACCCAATGTTTGACTTCAAGTATCCCCTTGGGCTTGATCTTCTTCTAATCCCAATGGTGGTGGCGGCGGCTGCTTCTTCTGCGGGGTTTCGAGAGAAATACCGATATACCCACAACGAAGCGGAAGCGGAGAGATCGAATCGAAGTGAAATTAATAAATGGGTTCCGGATTCGGTGAGGAAGTGAGAACCATTTGACTTTTGTATCAACTCGAGGTGGGTGACTGGGTGAAGTGCAATTGGGTGGGGAGCGACGGGAGAAGTTGGTGGTCACTGGCCAACAGTGAGGTGCAGATCGGTTGGCCGACAGAATATCGATGGGGGAGCTTTGTCTGGTGAGATGGGGTTGTTTTGAAGTAATATTTTTATTTTCCATATTTTAAGAGAAAATTATTATTGGCATTTCCAAACATTTCATTTTGCGTTATTTATTTTTTATAATTAGAAAAAATAATACATTTGTGAGAAGTGTAAGAAAAAAAATTTCGAATGCTAATAACAATTTTCTTTTAAGATGTTAACGTTCATAATTTGGTGTAAAGTAATATGACACTAGTCAATAGCACAAAGCAGGCAGTGGGAGTTTGAGAATAGTAGATCTGAACTCCTCCAAGTGTAGCTGATAGCCCTCTCACACCAGCTAATGATCTTTGCCTTGATAAGTTAAGGCAGAAAACCGAGTTTCTAATAAGCTAGGTCATTGACTAGTTATCTTAATTTCGTGAATACTAATTAGCTACATTTAGTGGTTTGAGGAGCCCCCGGATTTGATTCAAGATGTTTTACTTGAGGACGGAATGTAATTTGTTTGCTATTGTTCATTTGAGGATAGTTCTTTCGGTGTGCGGGACACTTTTTTCCTTCGATCGGGTTGTTTGCCCGACAAGGTTTTTATCGAGGCCCACTTTGCACACTATCCTCAGTCTGTTCGAACTTTGTTTGTTCTGTTTTGTTTTAATGATTATCGTCTCTCCATTCAAAAAAAAAAAAAAAAGCTACATTAGTGTGGAGAGAAAAAGTTAATTTTGCAAAACCCTAAAAACTATAAAATTGCATTGTCGTGGATTGAAGAGAAGAAAAAGGAGTTTGGATTATTAAGTTTAGAAAAAAATAATATTAAAATATATTACTTAATTTAAGATAGCTAGTATTGCTGAAGTGATAGCTAGTCAAATTAACATTTTGATCGTTTGCTAGTAATAACAAAAATATAGTTAATATTATTATAAATACTCTTGGACGTGAACCCATATATTGATCATCGCCTTGATAAGCTTGTTGATCCTTAAACTATGCTTGCTTCTTTGTGTTTTGTTGTAATTTGTACGTGATTACATATAATTGGTGAGTTAATAGAAGGAATTAAGTCGCATATAGATTTAAAAATGTAATGACTAGCATGTAAGCATATGTATCATATGGGCCAAGTTGGAGAATGTAAGGATATTTCAATATTCTAGTATGACCCACATGACATGGTCCATGTGTGATAAATTCGCTTTAATGAATATTGTTTTGGAAGCATCCGATTGGTCAACTTATGAGAATTGGTTTCTTTTTTATTATCGTGATGGGTGGTAATTGATGATAAGCTTAATTAGGAAATGATCCCTTCTTTGCCTATAAGAGTGCATAGTGGCGAAGCTACTAAGGGGCAGAGAGGGGTTGCCGCCCCTCCTCTCACCAAAAAAACAAGGCCAGAAGTATTGATTTGATGTGTTGCCACCCCTCTGGTCGGTCGGAAAACCTGTAATTCTGTGAGGACTCCATACTGTTGTGCAGCGCAGGCTGCGCACATGCTATTTTTTTTCTTTTCAAAATATTTTTTAAAGTACTACGAACTCATAATCATTTCAATTTTTATTTCTTACCATCAAATTCAATAAAGTAATAAATAACATATATCAAATATTTTTATACATTATGTTCTATAATCAATATTTTTAGATACTATATACTATGTAATAAATAGACACTTATTCAAAAAATATTATAATAAATTTATTTAAACATCTAGCCGCCAAAATCCATGCCTAAGCATTAGAACATGTTTGCTGCCCAACTAGCTCTTAGTGTCCTTTAGAACTTTGTTCATTATATAGTTATGTAACGAAATTTTACAACAAGAAACAATGCTTAAATCCTCTTTCAAATAATAATGTTAGTTTAAATCCTCCTTCGAATTTTTCAGGCAGCCCAAGTCCTCTTTTGAATATTTCGGTTAGTCCAAATCATTCGTCGAATATTCTAGGTAGTCCACATAGTCTTTTTGCCAACCTTGGACTTAGACCTCAAATGGGTGTCCCCATTTTATTGGAACATTTTACCCTTTTAAATTTAGGAAAACTAATGAAAAGGGCTTCAAATCTTTACATTTTAATAAAAAACTACTCACTAACTTTATTTAATAATAAAGACAAAAGACTAATAATTAAATTAAATTAAATTAAAAAAAAAACCCCTAACAAACCCAACTTGCGCATACCCCCCCCCCCCAAAAAAAAACACTTCAAACACTCTACTTTTTTCTCCCACCTTTTTGTCTCATCGTCAGCTACATTAATAGTTATTTTTTCTTTCTTAGAATAAGAAAAATACTTCGAATTGAATTATATTCTCCTATTTTATTTTTGTGGTGTTGTTTTCCAATAGTAGTCATGATGACGAGAAACCTTTCAATGTGCCCAGAACACGGGGTGGTACATTCTATACAAGTTGTGATATTCTTGTGTTAAAAAATTAATAACATAAAAAATAAAATTTTCCACCACTTATATAATAACACGTGATATACCATTTATGTTATGGGCACAAGGAAAAATGTATCCCAAATGACACCTAAGCTTAATAAATTGGATGGAGAGCTACATTTATTATTGTAGGTATATGAAAAAAGTGAGGAAATTTTAATTTGGTAATTGAAAATAGTTTTTTAAATATAATTACTAAGAATATAATATTCTCAAGGTTTTGATCTAAAGAGTCACTTATGGGTTCATCGTTTTTTGACTCAATGGGTGCTTTTACAGGACCAAAAGGGTCTAAGTTTCAAACCTTATGAAACTGATCCAAGAATTGAAACTGATCTAATAAGTAGACACTATTCATGAAACTAGACCAATAAGTAGATATTATTTATGAAACTGGATCAATAAGTAGACATTATTTATGAAAGAAAATAAGAATTAGGCATTATTTCCAAAATTAAACCAATAGGTGGAAACTATTTATGAAACTAGAGTAAAAACTAGACAATATTTATGAAATATGACCAAGAACTAGACACTATTTATGAAAGTGGACTATTAAGTGGACACTATTTATGAAATCAGACCAAGAAAGAGACACTATTAATGAAACTGTACTAATTACTATACATTATTTATGAAACTGGACCTAATAACTAGACATTATTTATAAAACATGATCAAGAACTAGACACTATTTATGAAAGTGAACAAAAAACTAGGCACTATTTATGAAATTGGACCAATAAATAGTATAGTACTGTTCAGTTTCTTAAATAGTGTTCGATTTTATAAATAGTGTTCAGTTTCATAAACAGTGTACAGGTCCCTACGTGCGTCGGGTTATTTTTTTAATTGCGTCATTTTCATTAAAAATTAAGTTTTTCTATTATTTTTATTAAAATTTAAGGGTTTTTCATTAAAATTTAATTCTTTTTCATTAAATAAAGTTATAGCATGTTTTTTTTTATTATTAAAATAAACTTAGCTCAAGCCATTTTCATGAAAATTCCTTTTAAATTTTGCCCATCCCCTTGACAATTCTTAGCTTCACCATTGAGAGTGTACATACCCATTAATGTGTACACTGATGAAGGCTTTGACGGTCAATTGTTGAGGTATGTAATTTAAGTATTCCGCATTAATTGTTTGTGAAAATCATGTTTTTCAAGATCCTGGCTCATGAATTGGGTCTTATAACTTTACCGAACTTTTAATTTACAGAATTGGAACAAATTTTCTCGGTTTAACGGTTCAAATTTATAATATTCAATTCTCACCCCTCCAGTTTAAATTTACTAATTTCATAAGAGGTGACATCAATCATGAGTCAAAGAGTTTCGAACAAACAACTATATTTCCAAAATTAATCTATATGTAAAACGAGGATATGCACACACAACTATATCAACAATGCGTATGCATACAAATATACTTGCTTGTTGGCACCTTTTAAATATCAATAATTCTATTTAAAAGTTTTAAAAGACGAAAGGTGCTAGTCGGGTTGCAGGTAGGGGCCAAGCGCTTAGATGGACTAGTCGAATTTAAATAATTCTATTATATTTTGTATAATTAAGTGTCTATTTATATTTAAAAAATATATAATTTCATACTAAAACACAAAATAGAATCATATATATATATATATATATATATATATATATGTAATGAAGTATTAGAATATAATGAAAATATAGAATACAAACATATAATGTGTGTTCATTTAAATATTGAACAAGTCTTTTAACCTTTATTTAAAAAAAAAAACACCAGTCTTCTACCTCCACCAACAACCCCCTCCCTCCCTTCTTTCCTCTGCAACCCGTACCCTCCCTCCTCTCCTCTGCAACCCCCACCCATCCTCCATCCTCTCTCTCCTCTGACAACTACAAAAATGCAGATGTTCTCATCTTCAACACAGGTCACTGGTGGACTCATGAGAAAACTTCCAGCGGGTAATTCTCCTGCTCCAATTCACTTAATGTCATGGATGTTTTGGAAAGTAGTCACTAGGCAGTGAAGTTAAAATGTTTATAAATCTTGCAGGAAGGGTTACTATCAAGAGGGTAGCCAATTTTATGGTGAACTGAATGTTGACGATGCATTTCGCAAATTGTAAAACACCTGCAGCCCAGTCCCCACCTCGGCCTGGTTCAAACCCTCCATCCTTCTCTCATCCGTACGCAACTTGTCTCCGGTATCTTTGACCCACTCGAGTTCGGAATCGACCACATCAATGACAGCGAGGTCGTATTCATTATAGAGAGCTAAGATCTCGCAAAGGAGCTGAGCGGCCTTGGTGCGGTTGATGCGAATAATATAAGCACACAAATTAAACCCTCTTTTGACAATTGTAGCAAAGTATGTAAGTAGGGATCGTTCTAAACCGGGGATTAGGAGGGTTTGCTAAAACCTCTAAACTGACTCAAAAACAAAAAGAAACAAAGTTAAAAATGTAAACAAAAGACTTTAAAACAAGAAAGTAAAAGGGGGATTTGGGTTGGTGAAGTTGAAAGTAAAACAAATAAACTAAAACTTAAATAGATTTTTAGCTAGGCAGATTATAAAACGAATTTGAGAAATAAGATGGTGGATGGATTAGTTAGAGGTCCGTTCTTCACACATGACACACTTGTACATGAATCGATTTCCAATTGCTTTTCAATAAACTATGATGCTCAACACTCCAGATTGACCGTGATGCACAAATTAACCCTCAGACTTTCCTTTACTTATTGAATTGGATGAATGCATGCGACAATCCAAATTATTCTCCAAAAGTCCCCTATATGAATGCATAATAGAGATACAATCAGAGATCATTACGTTCAATGAAAATCATAAGTGTTGACGAGGCAATTGTAACTATGAATGCATGATACGTTTGCCAAGAATTCAATTAACGCGATTGTGACAAGCAACCTTCACTACTCATGAATATAAACTTGTAACAATTAGGTGAAACTCATTTATATTCTAGCATCTAATTCATGTATGAAAACTAAGTATGCATCCTTAATAAACATACAAGAATTAGTTATGAAGAAAATAGATAATTGAATTGCAATCACAACTTATCAAATCACAATTGGAAGAAATCAATTCATATCACAAGCATGTTCATGGCTTCAAACTTCCCCCTAATTAAATAGGGGTTTAGTTCCTCATGTTCACAAAGCAAAGATAAATAGAATTATACATTGAAAACAAAAGAAAGAAAACACCTAAACGTTCCAACGATCCATGTTGGATAGCAAGCACGTACAAGAACTTTCCTTTTCTTCTTTGTTGCAACACAAGGTTGGAGAATGGTTAATTTCTGGATCTCCTCAATGAGGCTGCTGCCATGGGTATTTATAGGGAGAGGATGGACTTGTTTAATTCAATTTTCTGGTGTGAAACAACAAGGATATACGGCAAGCATGTGGAGAATAATGGTGGGTTAGGTCTTGAATCATTCACTCAATTTTATGGTGTGAAAGCATCAAGAATGCACGGCAAGCATGTGATTTTAGGGATGAATCATTTATTCAATTTCCTAGTTGGTTAGGTATTGAATCATTCACTCAATTTTCTGGTGTGAAAGCATCAAGGATGCACGGCAAGGATGTGATTTTTGGTGTGAACATGGTTTTGAGTGGAATTTTGGTCAATCCTTCTAGAAACCTATCCCTTCTTGCAACTTGTATTTGTTTCACCAGATTTTTAGCATGTTCATTTGATGTTTTGACTTCAAATTCGTCCAAACTCCTTGCTCCATGCATATGTACTTCATTCCAAGCCCAATTTTGCTCCTAAAAGCTCCAAAATGCTCCTTTTTGCATACTTTGACAATAAAACCTGAAATTGCACGAAAATGACTTTAAACACTAAACTAACTAAGGAAAAACAACATAAATGCATGAGAACAAGCCAATTAAGTCGCATAAAAATGCTCCTATCAGCGGTCGATGCGCTCGGGGTCGTCGGAGGCGAGGGATCAGAGCTTACGGGAGAGGCGGAGGGCTCTGTTGGAGTGGTGGAGAAGATCGGAGGAGGCATGGAGATTTTGGAGCTAGATAGTAAGGGTGAGGGGGTCGAAGAGCTCGGATCGGGTGTGGCGAAGGGATGACTGGAGGGCGGCAACAGAGGATCGGACGTTGGAGAGGGCAGAGAGCTGGGCATGGTGGAGGGAAAAGAGCTGGGTGAGGAGGTCGGAGTGGCGGGTGAGGACCTCGGAGCGGAGAAAAGGGAGGGTACGGGTTGGAGAAGGGAGGGAGGGGGTTGGGGGAGATAGAAGACGAGTGGGTTTTTTTTTTTTTTTTTTTGAATTTCCAGGTTGACCTTTAATGATCCTTGACGTTCAGTTATTATCCACATGGATGTCACAACTATACTAACGGATGCTCGAGATTGTTCCATAATATGATTCTGGAATGAAAAAAACTTCATGTAACAAATGTTGAAAACCACGAAACTTGAAGGTAGTAAACTGAAATTTACCATTTTTTTAGTAGAGGTCGGCCTTACTAAGTATGTGGGACAAACGATGCTACTAGAACTATACAAGACAAGGATGAAATGTTTTTACTAACAAAAAGGTATTAGTTAGGAAATTAAGTTGCTACTAGAACTATACAAGACAAGGATGAAATGTTTTTACTAACAAAAAGGTGTTAGTTAGGAAATAAATGAGTGTTATAAATTACGTACCTTGAGCAAAATTGCAGGTTGTATTTCCACAAATATGTCTCCTCCCACAAAACCCAAATTATGGGTGGTTCCTTGCAATTCAGCCACCACATCTGGTTGATCAAACACAATGCAGTTGATGTTGGGGAATGCATTGGCAAGCCTTGGCCATGGCTCCTGTTCCCCCTCCAACATCCACCAGGGATTTCAAACCCTCAAAAACTCCTCCACACTCTTCCACTACCGCCCTTTCGATAAGCTTGGAGTCAGCCTCCATTGCTTCATTAAACAAGTTACCGAACCTTGGTTCCTGAGCTCCCAAATTCCAAAAGTGCATTCTGTGTTGCATTTCAATGGTGTACATGCAGCAGCTGGATCATCCCCACCGTTCATCTGCAACCAAGCTACCATCAAGTGAAATGGGGTCGTCACTACCTGATAGAATAAAACCCTAGTTAGGATTCCTTGTTTCCACAAGTATGGTAATTAAATGTAAATGTTTTTCTTACTTTCCTAGAAATTATAATATTCATTCACTATTACGTTAAACATTTTGCGCGACGAGGGAGTATTTGTCACGCAAAGCATTTCCAGGTCGCACAAAACCTATGGCGATGCAAAAATTGTAGTGTAGAATTTGTCGCTCAAAGGTCGTGAAGAAAGACCTTGCGCGACGAAGAGTGCACATTCGTCACGCAACTAAAAGATTGCGCAATGCTTTACTGCTCGTTGCAAGAAAGGTATACAGACAAAGGTTTTTGTCACACGATATAAAAGGGTACAAGTTTGCTTTGTGATGAGAAATTTCTAGGGATGTCTATAATTCGCCTTGAAAATGTTTGCACGACGAAGCATGTAAGACGCACGTGGTTTTGCACGACTACATATCTTCGTTGCGCAAGTGTAATTTTTAATTAAAAAAAAAAATATTTCATACAATTGACAAGAAAAAAAAAACAAATTAATAAATAGAAAACCAATTTATTTATAATATAAATAAACATGTACGTACAAATACAAAGTTTAAAAAAGAAAGCGGGAAAAAAAAACAAAAAAAAATGAGGCATAATCTATGGGCAAGTCGTTTGGAAGTGCTTGGTAATCTTGCTGCTAGAAGAGGGTGGGGTTGGGAACGGGGTCGAAGGTCAACGGGTCTGATTGCTGTGTATGCTCTGTGTGAAGGGTCTCTGACGGCGGTGATGCAGGAAAATCTAGGGGACGAATCCTGGAGGAACTGAGGGCTTGTACAATCAATGACATTTGAGTCTTGTACGATGCGAGCTCACTCCTTAGGCCAGCGACTTCTTGCATTAAAGCCGTAACCTCGCCCTTCGACTAAGAGAATGAAGAGGCTCCACTTTCCCGTTGTCTGGCATTTCTTATACCCCGACAATATGTCCTTGGCCTCCGACCAAAAGTTTGGTCGAATGTCTCTGTAAGGATGTGAAACCTCGCATCCTCAAGGGGATCCACAGACTCGTTCGGCATGTCTGGGGGAAGCTAGAAGGCGAACTCCAGAAGGACCAACTGACCTTTCTCCAACATAGTCGCCTGTGAAATAAAACATGGAATATTAATAGCAAACAATTTGAAATAATTAGTATAAATCTTTAATGCATAAGAAATTAATTACATGAAAGGACTTGGCCAACTTATCCCCATGCCGAACATAAACGTCAGCAAAGGCGTCGATCTTCGAGAATTTTGAACCCTTATGAAATAGAAAAAGATAAAGAAAATGTTAGTATGGAAACAAAAAAGAAAATAAAAATTATTAGCGACATTTTAAAATTGGAAATGAAAGCTTTAATATATACCTTCCGTCATGCCTCCATCCTATATGAGAAATGAGTCGAACCCGAATGGTGGAGAAGAGTCTTCTTCTCCTGATTGATCTTGTTTGTGTTCGCCTTCTTCTGCTATGCATAAAATAAACGTATTAGTTGTAATATTTAAAGAAAATAAAAAAATTCATAATAAACATTAGTAAAAATTAAAAAAAGTAAAATGAAAGAAGTTCTAATTAAAAACTCACCACATAGCCCAGCCCCTGAAAATGATTGCAGAGCCAAACCTAACTATCTTGTCGGTCCTCGAACTAATTCGGGCAACCCTCCTCCAGAGCGACCTGTGGATCATCAAACATCTTGAAATACTGGCGCAGGTCACTCTTCCACTGCTTGTAGCATTTGGAGAAGAGTCAATTGAGGTACACCAACATGTCCTTGTTGATGTCATCGAAATGGTAGTTTGTCTACAATGTAACAAATATTACGAAAGTATTAGTAATAAAAGACATTAATAAATATAAATATATAAATTTTACATGAAAAGCATTAACAGGACGATGATACTTACCGACAAATGATTGTGCACCGTGTTTTTCACCTCCTCCGGCATTGCCTTCCAAGACTTCCAGTGCATAGGGCAATAGGTCAACACGACGTGCCCAATGTCGTGGACCAATGCACTATGCTGCTCCACCGTTGGTGTTGCTCGATGTCGCCCATCGTATCCAACTGTGATATGACCATTGGTGACCTGGGTGATTTTCGCCATCTTCAATTGTCGACAAGGTCCTCGGGTTTTTTTCTTGTGTGCAAAGAAATGAAAAATTAATGTTAACCTAAAACCAATAACAAATCCTACCGAAATTTCGGCAGAACCTCCCTATAATGAAACCATTTTCCAAAACCTTGAATATGTATCCAACACAATGATCACAACTGTTTAATAATGGGTTTGGTATGATGACAACAATATATATATATAATAACTTTTAATCCTTAAATGACATAACTTAACAAACTGAACCTAAAATAACAAAACTAAGTTAACATGGGAATGAGGGAGTAAATTAGGATAGTATACTTGGCTGTGGACTCAAGGCATCGGTTGTGGATCCCGATGGCGACATCTGCTCCAAAGTGCAGGGGCGTCAATGAGCACGTCGAGCGCTAACAGGTAGCGCCACCGAAGAAGTCGAAGATGTTGGTGCATGTGGGACTGGAGGACCAACCGGGTCAACCGGATTCACCGGCCTATGGTCAATCTCTGCCGGAGCAGTGGTGGTAGTAGTAGGTCTAGTCGTCGGACGAGGTGTAGTCATCATCACCTTCCGGGTTCTAATGAGCTGTGACATCTACAAAATTGAAAATAAATTTGTTAGATTACAAAGATAAAAATTATCGTACACATGCATAATAAATTCTACTTAAATTTAAACGAAATTTAAAAACCCAAATTTAAAAACCCTAATTCTAAACCCAATTCAGGTTTGTTTTCAATTTCTTATTTACATGTTTTCATATTCAATGGCAAATTGGTTTCTTTTATTTCAACTTTAACTTCAAAAATGGCTTTTAAATTTAGGTATTTTGTCTTCGACTCTATCGCTTCCATGCTAATTAAGCTATAGATTAATAAGTTTTGCAACAGAAACAACTAAAAACCATGTTCGCCTGCAGGGTTATCTGTATGTGTATTATATCGATAATTCTAGGACTTGTCATATCATGTTCCTAACTTGATGCTCTGGGTATCTTCTCCTATTAATAATAGTGGCACCTTAATTTGATCAACCAAATTTGGTGAAGCACCAGACAAACAGAAACCCATGCATACAGAGGCAACTGTACTGAAGCATGAATTGAAAAAAATAATGTACATGATTATTATTCCACTACTTAATTTGTTACAAGTCACCACAAATTTCTCTGCATTATGGTTGTTAGGACAATAGATTAGGTTGCAAGATAAATTTCCAAAGTTCTACTAGCTTCGTTACAATTTTTTTTTGCAGAAATCAAACATGCTAAATTTATATGCATGTTTTGAAATTGGTTATAGGAAGTGGGCTTCAAGTCTTAACAATAATGGACACTATGAAATCAGGGTAACCAAATGGGAATAGCTATATACTTCAAAAACGCATATCACACACACACACACACACACATATATATATATATATATATATATATTCTGCCAAGAATCAGATTTGATTGGCACAGATGAAGATGAACAATAAGAGGCTAGCTAGGAGCGGAGTAAATTGCATCGATTACCATGTTGTAATTGGCCTAGCTAATTCTAACCCTTTACTTGAAATTAAAAAAACCCCTAATTTAAGAACCCTAATCTAACCCCAATGAAGCACTCTAAATCTAACCCCCAATTTAAGAAAAGCTAATCTAACCTATTGGCCTAGCTAATTCTAACCCTTTACTTGAAATTAAAAAACCCCTAATGTAAGAACCCTAATCTAACCCCAATGAAGCACCCTAAATCTGACCCCAAATTTAAGAAAAGCTAATCTAACCTCACTGCCCAAAATCGTTTTCCTAATTTAAGACCTAAATCAAACCCCAATTAAGAACCCTAAAAACTCTAATTTAAGAACCTAAATGTAACCCCCCAATTTACGAACCCTAAATCTAACCCCACTGCCCTAATTCTAACCCCCAATTTGAAAAAAAAAACCCTTCATCTATAAACCCTAATTAACATGGTAAATAAAGAAAATTGAAAAAAAAAAAGAAGAGGAAATTACCTCTTGGAGATGACGACGCGACGGCCAGAGAGAGGGACAGAGAGATGAGGTGAGCGATGGAGAGAGGGACGGAGAGATGAGGTGAGCGACAGAGAGTGGTAGTGAGAGGGTATGAGGATATTCACGTCTGTCGGGGAAGAAAAACTAAGGGTGAGTGTCGGGAGAGAACGATGAAGGAGAGAGAGGGTATCGAGAAAGAAAAAGGAAGAAGAGAGAAGTGATGGCAGGAAGATGATACACATGAATAAAAACATAGAAGCTTGTGCGACAGAGACTTTGTCGCGCAAGGTTAAAAACTTCGTCACAATGTTTTTTAAAATTTTTGCGAAAAAAAAAGCGCCTTAATTTTCAGGCACTTGTGCGACGAAGACCTAGATTTCATTGCGCAAATATCCTTTGCGTGGAAGTGTCTAAAAATTCAATCTACCCGCATAAATTTAAAATGTTTGTGTGACCAAAAAGTGTTATGTTTCGCGCAATTTTGTTTAAAAATGGTTTTTTTTTATTTTTATTTTAGAATTTTGATTAAAATTTATTATAAAATATTAATAATATTTTATTATTTACAAAGTGATTCACATATAAAATGGGATCCCAAATAAAATGTATTAACCATTTAATGTGTTTTACAACAAAAATTACAAATAAATTGCATTAATCTTCATCCGAACTATAATAACTTTCACTTTCTTCGCTATCATCATTTTCGGTGTCCCATTCTTCATTATCGATAGGTATGCCACCGTCGTCTTTTGTGTGCATTGGACCATTGTATTGTGGAAGATTACCAAGGTCAATTGTGATTGATTGAATCGGTATTTCGAATGAAGATACTCCTTCTATCTGAAATGGTTCTTGGATAAGATTAGTATCTCAGAGTGTTTCCGCACCAATTTTCATAAAAGATTCTAGACGTTGGTCAGCAGCATTGTCGATGTCATCGGCAGTAGGGTCTTTTTCTGGTATAGTATACACATTCCTATGATCCATCTTCTGAACAATTTTCCAACCCCTCCCGGCTTTAGGGTCATCTAAATACATAATTTGTTTTTCCATGTTTGCTAAAATGTAACGGTCATCATCGTACCAAGTTTTGGTAGTGTTCACTGATAGTAATCCATGATCTTTTTTAACACTTCCCTACCTATTTGGGTTTGTATCAAACCATCGACACTTAAATAGGATCACTTGGCATCAGTTTTTGTAAAGCAATTCCATGACACTTGTTAGGTTGCCATAGAAATCAATGTCTGTACTTTTGCCTTCACCTGTGACATGAACATCGATGTGTTGCGTACACAACTTGTCATCTCGTGCAGCCCCTAAGAACTTGACGCTGTTGACATGGTAACCCGAGAACAATTCAACTTGAATCAGTTTGAAAGCCAAGTTATATAACTCTTCACTGTACGCTGGGGAATTCAATGCTTTCAATCGATTCACCTAATATTACACAAACACTTAAATTTGTTAGTTTGAGCAAAATAATTGGTATAATATATATGTCCAATACAAAACACTTCAAACTTACATATTCAAGAAACCATTGCAAGAATAATTCACGGTGTTTCTTGGCATACAAATGTGAAGGATGTGCCTGCTTTATCATATCTTTATGCTCGTCTAGGTATGACAATGTCTCATCACAATTGTTGAGTACGAACCAATGTGCTACCTCCATGTCCTTTGTGGAATGACTCACCTTGTATCTAATCTTTGAAGGGTCGAGCGATTTGCAAAAACTGAAAGTTTCTCCTTTCTCACACCCCCGTCATTATTGGGAGGAGGACGATTGAAAGTTGTCTCCACATCTTTTAAATACATTCCACAAAATGTAAGCGTCTCATATGCCACCCAAGCTTGTATAATTGATCCTTCGGGCTTCGCTTTGTTTCATACACTTTTCTTCAAGTCTTCAAGAAGCCTGCCAAAATAAAATGATACGATACAAATTTTACTAATCGTAAGATATTGATTAATAACAATGACGAGGATTATATACCTTTCTATTGGACCTTTCTATTGGATACATCCATCGAAAGTTGACTGGTCCAGCAAGCAATGCCTCATTTGGTAAGTGAACAATCATGTGGATCATACTTGTGAAGAAAGCTGAAGGAAATATCATCTCAAATTTGCATAGAACTTGCACACAACTTGCACAGAACTTGCACAATGTCATGGCGCAACTGATTAACGTCCGTCTTTCGCAACGATCTTAATGTCAATTGCGAAAAAAAACTGGACAACAACATGATTGGTTTCGCTACGTAATTTGGCAAGAGATGTTGAATACCAACATGAAGTAGGCATTGCAGAACCACATAGCAGTCATGACTCTTTAGTCTAGCTAATTTACCCGTCAACATTCATGCAACGTGCAATATTTGAAGCATATCCATCAAGAAACTTTACAGACGATAAAAACTTTAAAAATTCTTTTTTGTCATTCGGTTTCATGGAAAAGAACGTAAGATCCCTTATAACTTTATCATTGTCCCTATTCATCTATAAACCCCGTTGTATTCCTATTCGTTCCAAATCAAGACGAGCTTTGATCTTGTCCTTTGTCTTGCCTTCGATATCTAGAATTGTGTCGACCAATGTGTCAGATACATTTTTCTCAACATGCATAACATTGAGGTTGTGCCTCAATTTTAGTTTCGACCAATACGGGAGCTCAAAAAATACAAACTTGTGCGTCCAATTCATATGTGTAGAAGGTTTGGTCCTACTGACGTTTCTCCCGAACAAGCAAAATCCAAACGGTTAAGCTGTTCCAAAATCTGATCAGTGGACCATTCTCTGGGTCTGAGGTGATGCTTTTTTTTCCCGTCGAACTCTTTATCATTCTCTCACTACTCGTGGTCCTATGGCAACCATTTCCAATGACCAAGGTAACAAACTTTTCCGACATGCCAACTAGATGTTACGCCTTCCTTGCATACAGGGCAAGCTATATAACCCCTAGTGCTCTACGCAGAAACCATTGCATATGCGGGGAAATCGTTCACAGTCCTCATTACTGTTGCCCGCAAAGTAAACATCTTGCCTGTACACTTATTGTATGTGTGCACACTGTGTGTCCAGAAATCTTTTAGCTCATTCACTAACGGTAATATGTATACATCGATTGACCAACTAGGATCCTCAATTATCAATAGAGTCATCGTCATGTATTCTTTTTTCATAAATTTCCATGGCGGAAAATTATATGGAAATATGAAAATCGGCCAAGTATTATGATGTTGGTTTAGAACCTCGAACGAATTTAATCTGTCAGTGGCAAGTCCCAATCTAATGTTCCGAGGATCAGTAGAAAAATCAGGGAACGTTCGTTCAAACTCTTTCCACGCTTCTCTATCTGTAGGATGCCTTATAGCAGCTTCACCGTATTCAATAGCCTGGTAGACCGGCTGTTACTCCAACCCAATTGCCCCAGCTAGCAGTTCCAGCCCATACGGGTGATGGGGCTTGAAGGAGGCCTGAGCGAGAGGCCAGGCGGGAATCGACAGCCAGAGAGCTTGAGGGTTGTGTGACGTGCGATTGATGTGCGGCATCAGTGCATGCGCCGACCTTGACATCT